TCCATTTTCAGCGTGATTCCTCCATTCTTATGAGTTTTGTTACTATGGTTCAACAGAAAAGTGGGATGCATGAAGATATGGACCACACAGAGGATGTCCTTTACATAGTACCGATCTAAGACACAGTCTTTAAGAAAAAACATTTCGTGAACTAGTGTGCGGTGGTTTTCGTCCATGTTTTCTGGGTGTCCATGTGGATGAAGGAGTAGAAGATAGTAATACCGAAAGCCACGTCATGTAGATGAAGGTTGTAAGGGTAATGGGTAATGAGTATCCAGCGGAATTGCTGATGAAATTCAGCTGTTTCAAACAATCATTCACTCTGATATCGAGGTCTCTACTGGTTAAGCCTAATGCTAATTATGTGAGTAGATCTCTTGTTCAGGGCATTCACATCCAAGGAAATCCGTTACTAATTTTCAACTCACTGGGGAAAAACATCGCGCGCCGCTACAATCCACTTGCTGATATTGTGTAGCCTTTTTTGGTAACCTTGTATCCGTCGGAATCGCATTCAAGTACGGGTTCAATGTTGAATCGACGAACGAGCCGTTTCGTGTGAGCGCCCAATCTTACTGCATCATGCATTCCAATGAATCAGGTCGACGACAACATAAAAAGAGGATGAGCCCGAGTGTGTACGTGGATTTGTTTCAAATATGGCTAAGAACAGACGGATATAGTTGCTGGGAATAGTTGCAAATTCTCCAGGTAACTGAACTCGTGAAATTTTATTGATAGCTTTTTGTGGAACAACAAAATGAGACGGACGAGAACATTGTTCCTTGATACCCTGAACGATAGGGTTACGAGACCATCCATGATCGATCTCATAGTTGCAGCTGAAGAACGCTTCACCAGTCACGGAGCGTATTTCCCTTATGAGGGCACGAATGATTGGCTCAATGCGCGTTGATTTGTTCTGTGGTCCGTGTACTTGACAAACATTCAAATTCAAATTCAAATTTTCATTATAGGATAAAAGCTTATAAAGACTTCGCTTATCAAATCCCATAGGGTGTTTACACTTTGGTTCAGAACACGATTCACAAGATCACAGTTGGTCCATGAAAGTAAAATGGTGATGTAATGTTTTTGACGAGCACAGGAGAATATATTATGTAGTTGGATGTTGAAGTATAATGTTAACCAGAGCGTCATCAAGCTGACGCTTGAAAGATATTAATGTTGGCACACAGACCACGTGAGGTGGTAGAGAGTTCCATTTGCTACACGCTGAATGCAAATGAATGGCGTATGTCGCCGAGACGGCTCTTTTGAAGTGCCAACTTCAGTGGATGCCCTCTAAGATGAACATTGGTTGATAGAACCCAAAGGGGTCTACATCAATGGTTGGGCTGTTGGAAAATACGATACAGTAAGATCATATCGCCTCTGATTTAACGATATGGATATTAATCTTTCGCCATAGGTCTTGGAATGTAGACCTTTGACCATCTTGGTAGCCATTCTCTGCGGATGTTCAAGTGCCTTTCGATCTCGCTGCAGCCATGGGTTCCAGGCCTGACTTGAGTACTCGGTGTATGGACGGATATATGTGGCTAACAGACGTGCAAACAAGGCCGACGGACAATTTTTCGGTCCTGAATTCAGCATCGGTCTTACGCGTATTTGTTTGGGCCCTCTGGTTCTGTGTTCATCTCATGACTGGATAACTGTGTTTACCATTTCTGGTGTCCCAAGAGTGACCTTCAGTAGTTGTGGGCCATCTCCGTGATAGTCAGGGGAACGCGGAAGGCGTTTAATGATTGTGGTTAATTTATTTTTCTGATTTCACCGTTTTGTGTATCTCAAAACTGTTCGAAAGAATACTCAATCCTTTCCGGTCATTCTATTTTTTTAAAAATTTCCCCTGTGCTTTTTTGGTTTCTCTGTGCTTTTACGAAGACCACTGTACCGCTGAGATACCATATGGTGTCACATTGAGTTACGGAATAGCCGTGAGGGCGTGGGTGGTCTTTTTGCTCCATATATGATCATTATAATTTATATTTTTGCTACAACGCCCCACAGACAGTCTAGGTCAGGCGGTTCGCGGATAGGGTCAACCGAGTGGCTACGGTTGGACACCGTTGCCCG